AAAAAAAAAAAAAAAAAAAGAATATAAAACCAAAGACACAGAAAGGCAGCATCTTTCACTGGGAGGCCCAGCAGCTAAACAAGTACACAGAAGCTTTTGCGTCATCATTGATGTAAGTTATGTACCACTGCCTTGGAAGTGTGTAGATGAGGTCTGTGAGGGTCACCTTGACACAAAGAAGTTGAGCGTTGAGTTGCGGGTGCTCTTTTATACCTCTCTAGTCATGCGTGCTCTAGGCCTGCAAGCCAATTCACAGCTCCCCAAACCAGGTATCATCGTGGGCTGGGAAATTAATAAGACACAACTTTCCACGTTTATCTTACTACTGTAGTCACCAAAATAAGAGTGATCTTGAGGTCATTCTCAGGCAGGCCAGCATCAGCTCTGGCCTGATGTTACCTTTCACTTACAAACAATTCATTTTGTATATGGGTTTGAAATTCATGAGAGAGGCCAGATGCGGTGGCTTACCCCTGAAATCCCAGCACTTTCTGAGGCTGAGGCGGGTGGATCATCTGAGGTCAGGAGTTCAAGACCAGCCTGATCAACGTGGTGAAACCCCATCTCTACTGAATGAAAAAAAAATTAGCTAGGCATGATTGCACATGCCTGTAATCCCAGCTACTTGGGAGGCTGAGGCAGGAGAATTGCTTGAACCCGGGAGGTGATGGTTGCAGTGAGCCGAGATGGTGCCATTGCATTGCAGCCTAGGCAATGGGAGAGAGAGGGTGGTGGGGAGAGAGAGAGATGGAGAAAGGGAGGAAGGGAGGAAGGGAGGAAGGAAGGAAGGGAGGAAAGGGGGAGGGTGGGAAGGAGGGAGGGAGGAAGGAGGAAGGAAAGAAGGAAGAAACGGAGGGAGGGAGGGAGGGAGGGATGGAGGGATGTGGAAGAAATGCATGAGAGAGATGTGGACCAGAGATAGAAATATATGTTTTGTGGTCAGAGATTTGGGTTCAACTTCTTGCTGGACCACTCAGAAGTTGTGTGACTTTGGCAAGGAAGATAAGTTCATGTCTTCATCTTTAGTACAGCGGGCCCCTGTGAATATTAACTATGGCAATGAATAAAAGGGCGTTTCATGCAGGGAAGATTCTCATTAAGGGTTAGTTCCTGTTTTCCAGGGAAGAAATATTTTGATATCAACTATGGGAGAGAAATAAAAGGCAATAAGACAGTAACCAAACCTCATAAAGGTAAAAACGTCAAGTTCAAAAGTAGTACGTTCTTTTGTCTGATGTACAGAAAGGAGTATTTAGACAATGATTGTTTCCTTCCCCCAAAACTATCCAAATAAAGATAACTTTCTTTTCCAAAACTCAGGCAACCAAAACAAATAAATAAATAACGATCCCAACCAGGTAAGAAGCTGGGAATTAAAATGCCTTACTCTCTGCATTTGTCTCAGGCTATTGATCATTTTGCTTTAGGTCAAGACAGATATTGAGCATCAATACTGAGTAAAATAACTTTTGTTTCCTTTAGGCACTGATGAGAAAATGCTCATCAGCATTCTGACTGAGAGGTCAAATGCACAGCGGCAGCTGATTGTTAAGGAATATCAGGCAGCATATGGAAAGGTAAGGTCATGTTCACATGACAGGCAGTAAAGAGATCGTTAATGTACCATGGTCGCTCCCACATGGTTATGCCTACAGTTTTCTGTTTCAGGCTGAGTGTAACAGAAGATGCCCTGCGCACCCAGTCAGGAGCCTGGAATCTGAGTTGTGGTTTTGCCTTGAACTGGCTGACTGACTTTGGGCATATTACTTGGTCTTTCTGGGCCTCAGTTTCTTCACTTGTAGGATATGGTTTGCCTTAGCCCAGTGGGTTCTAAACCAGAAGTGATTTTGCTCCCCAGGGGACATTTGGGATGAATGGAGACGTTCTGATGATCACAAACAGGATGGTGGGGGGTACTTCTAGCGTGTAGTAGGCATAGGTCAGGGATGCTACAAGCATCCGAGAATGCTCAAGGCAGCCCTCCACAACAAAGAATTACCAGGCCAACTATCTGACTAATTCTGTCTTAGACAACCTTTTATTTCTCTTTCAATTTTAAAATACTTTTGTAGTTATAGGTTTGATTCATTCAGCAAATGAAAATTTAGTGATTAGCAGAAACTAACTGTATAAGAACAAGTAACTTTGGGAGGCCCAGGCAGGAGGATCACCTGAGATCAGGAGTTTGAGACCAGCCTGACCAACATGGTAAAACCCCATTTCTACTAAAAATGCAGAAATTAGCCTGGTGTGAGGGCACATGCCTGTAATCCCAGCTACTCGGGAGGCTGAGGGCTGAGGCAGGAGAATCGCTTGCACCCGGGAGACGGAGGCTTCGGCGAGCCGAGATTGATCCAGCCCGGCAACAGAGCAAGACTCTGTCTCAAAAAAAAAAAAAAAAAAAAAGCAAAAAGTAAGACTTAGTCTTTGCTATACAGTTTCTTTGTCCAACGCCTATTTTCGAGTACTAATCTGTGTTAGGAGATATCCTAGACATTGGATATAGACTGGTATAGAAAGCAGATCCTGCCTTCTTTCATGGAGCTAACATTCTATTAGAATATAATAAACAAGTAAATAAAAGTAATTCAGATATGATAAGTGACATGAAAGAATTAAAATGGTTTATATGATAGACAGTGACTGGTGAGTGGCTCCTGCAGATAGGGTGATGAAAGAATGTCAGTGAGGGGTTGTTACCGTACTCCCCACTAAGCCTAAACAATACTAGGGGTTCTGCTCTGCTTGACCAGGAGATGGTATTTAAGGTACAGCAAATACAAAAGCCCTGATGCAAAAAGAAGCAGGGAATATGTGAGAAATAAAGAATTCCAATATGGCAGGAACGTAGAAAGTGAAGGGGGCAGAAGAAAGAGATGAGGCTGGAGAGAGGTTGAGAACATGCTAAGGGTCTTGGTAGAGTTTAGATTTTATTCTAAGGGCTACAGGGAACCACTGGAGGTTTGTAAGCAGAGGAATAATATAATGCAGTTTTTATTTTTAAAGGATTATTTTGGCTGCTGTAGATAATGAATTGTGGAGGGAAAAGGTACAAATGGAGACTGTTGAGAGGGTCTGGTGACCATCCACAGGCAGCTCAGGAATTACCGCCTGGAAGTGTTCTCCAGGCCCCCGGGCTCCATTAAGACACCCGTCTCTGAGCTCCCTTTATCAGATACTTAACATATAATATGGAAATTTTACCTTTGAATATTTCTGTGTTTCCCATGAGGGCAGAATGTCTTAGGATAAAGACTTTGTCTAACTTACCTTTAAAGGCCTAGCACAGAGCAGGTGCCCAGAAAACATTTGTTGAATTGAATGAATTGCCTGGCTTCTGGGCAAGACAACACTTTCACATAAAGAGAAGGTGAGTGATCTATTGGCCTTTCAGTATTTCCAAAATATGGAAGAAAGATGGAGGTGGAGGGGAACAACCATTTCTCACAGTGGAATAGGATGAGATCTGTGAAGTAAGATTCGGTTGCAGTGGCTTGGATTGAGGACAGATGGTAGTGAAATTTACCATTTAGAGAGGAAAAAAATGCTGTGGCAATTAAAGCAGAGCTGGGAACACTGAACGCCATCCCATTTGTTTCAGCAGGAACGTGCTGCTGCTGCACCCCCCAGGAGTGTGGTAGTGTCGGTCTGTGCCCACGGCGTTGCAGCAGGCTCAGAGGCTACCAGCCTCTATTTCAGAGCTGAAAATTATCAGGAGCAGGAACAAACATTATTCAGTATTATGCCATTGAATATTGAAAGTAGAAACCCTGTTACCCCCCTTTAGGCAGGGGAGATGGACTGTCCTTACGTGTGAAAACAGTACTCAAAACAATATCAATGGGTAATGTCTGTAAGAGGCTAAGTTCTAGTGTTCCATAGCCCTGTAGGATGACTCAGTTAACAATAATGTAGTTTCAAATAGCTACAAGGAGGATACTGAATATTCCTAAAACAAAAAAATGTTAGATGTTTGAGATGATGGGTATGCAATTACCCTGATCTGATTACCATACATTATATGTATTGAAACATCACTATGTACTTTATGAATAAGTACAATTATTATTTGTCCAAAAAAAAAAAGTCTAACATATTGCCATACTTAGGGTTTTTTTTTCTTTACTTGTTGCCAGAAAATTGCTTCGGATGCCACCTAGTTCCACGTTCTCACCAGAGACACATGGCCAGCCACTGGCCTCCCTTCCCCTTCCTCTTGGAGCTCTTTGGGAGTTACTGAGAGGCAGGACACCCAGGAATAGAGCACCTCCCAGTGACGCTGCGTGTGAATTTATAAGGGTTCCTCTTCCTCTTCCCTCACCCCAACCTAAGCATTGAAAGCACGGGGGACCTAGGAAATGCATTTGAATACAGTTCCTAACTGTGGCACTCATGAAGTCCTCCCATTTGGCTCTCCTTCAAAAAACCTCTACAAAACAGAACAATTTGGGAGTAATTAGAAAATGCAGATTAATATTCATAGAAATATTTTCAACACTTCTGTTTATTCCCTGTGGATGGACGTGTTTTGCCTGATTTTGATACATATGTTCATCTTTCACTAGGTGACTTTAGAGGAAGAGAGAGGAAAAGTATTTCACATTTTTCTCCTTGGTTTTTTGATTTTAGGAGCTGAAAGATGACTTGAAGGGTGATCTCTCTGGCCATTTTGAGCATCTCATGGTGGCCCTAGTGACTCCACCAGCAGTCTTTGATGCAAAGCAGCTAAAGAAATCCATGAAGGTATGAGCCCCCCACAAGCCATTTCTGCCCAGGGTTTGACCGAGTCATCAAAAATAGTGACTTTCTGGCAGTGCACACTTGTGATGGGTGGACTTGGATGCCATTTTGGTCTGTACTCTCCCAGTGGTAGAATGACTCTGAAATAGGGAACAGTTGTAGAACCTTAAGCCCAGATGTTCCTGGGCTGGAAGAATTTTGTCATATCTTTTGTTTGACATGAAGAGTCAAGTTCTCTAGTTTGTCATCATTGAAAGTAAATGGCACTGTCATAAACCCCAACACTGAAGCTAAAAACCTAGCATTATCCTTGAGCCCTTGTTTTCTCTTACCCTTCCACACTCCCAAATCTATCAGCAAGTTCATTAGTTTTACTTCAAAATCCACTGTAAATGTGTGCACTTCTCTCAAAATCCATTGCTACTGTTCTAGCCTGACCACCATCATCTCTTGACTGGTCCGTATCAATAGGCTTCTAACTAGTCCCTTTGCCTCCATTTTTGCCCACCTCAAATTCATTCTACACAGAATAGCCAAAATTATTTTTATTAATTTATTTAAAAAATCAGATTATGTTATTTACCTGCATAAATTTCCAATGGCTTTGAACACTTAAAATCCAAGCTGCTTATCATGACCTTCATTACCCAATAGTGCAGGTCCTGTCTAACTCGGTGACTTTTTAAAATTCTATTTATATCAGTGAGGGTTCCCTCAGAGAAGCTGAACCAATAGGCAGGACATAGGCGTTAAAAGATTTATTGTAAGGCCAGGTGCTATGACTCGTGCCTGTAATCCCAATACTTTGGGAAGCCAAGGTAGGTAGATTGCTTGAGCTCAAGAGTTTGAGATCAGCCTGGGCAACTTGGAGAAACCCTGTCTCTACAAAAAATAAAAAAAAAATTAGCTGTGCATAGTAGTGCATTCCTGTAGTCCCAGCTACTTGGGAGGCTGTGGTAGGAAGATCACCTGAGCCCAGAAGGTCGAGGCTGCAGTGAGCTAAGATTGTGCCACTGCACTTCAGTCTGGGTGACAGTGAGACCCTGTCTCAAAACAACAACAACAAAAATTTACTGGAAAGAATTGGAGGCCATGGTGGGAGGATTGCTGGAGCTCAGGAGTTCAAAACCAGCCTCAGACTGAGCAACATAGTGAGAACTTGTCTCTACAAAAATTTTTTAAAAATTAGCCAGGCGTGGTGGCTCATGCCTGTAGTCCCAGCTATTTGGGAGGCTAAGGTGGGAGAATTACTTAAGCCCAGGTCTTAAGTGTCCTTTGTAGGGACATGGATGCAGCTGGAAACCATCATTCTCAGCAAACTATCGCAAGAACAGAAAACCAAACACCGCATGTTCTCAGTCATACGTGGGAATTGAACAATGAGATCACTTGGACACAGGAAGGGGATCATCACACATCAGGGCCTGTTGTGGGGAGGGGGGAGGGTGAGGGATAGCATTAGGAGATATACCTAATGTAAATGACAAGTTAATGGGTGCAGCGCACCAACATGGCACATGTATATATATGTAACAAACCTGCACGTTGTGCACATGTACCCTAGAACTTAAAGTATAATTAAAAAAAAGAAGAAGAAGAAGAAAAAAAAAATTAGCCAGGCATGGTGGCTCATGCCTGTAGTCCCAGCTGTTTGGGAGGCTGAGGTGGGAGAGTCACTTAAGCCCAGCAGGTCTAGGCTGCAATGAGCCACGACTCTGCCACTGCACTCCAGCCTGGGACCCTGTCTCAAAAAAAAAAAAAAAAAAAAAAAAAGAAGAAGAATTGGTTACATGATTATGGGATTGGTTAGGCAAGTTCAAAATCTGTAGGGCAGACTGTCAGGAAAGGCAGGCTGGAACTCTTGGGCACAAGCTGAAGCTGTCCACAGAAAGAATCTTCTAAACAGGAGCCTCACCTCTGGTCTTAAGCCCTTTCAACTGATTGGATCAGGTCTACCGAGAAAGGTAATCTCCCTTACTTAAAGTGAATCAATAATAAACTGCTACAAAATACCTTCACGGCAACACATAGATTAGTGTTTGATTGAATAAGCGGCATTATAGCCTGGCCAAGCTGGCGCATAAAACTGACCATCATACCCCCTCCTGCTCACCCATTAATGCTGTAGCTACACTGACCTTTTCTCTGCTCCTTGAACATCATAAGCTTATTCTTGTTTTGAGACATTTATACATGATGTTTCTTCCATCTGGAATGCTTTTCCTCCAGACATTTTCCATTAATTCACTCAAATATATTTTCTTACCTGCACTTATTACTGCCTAAAAGTATCTTGTCTATTTATTTGTTTTTGAGACAAGGTCTCGCTTCATTGCTCAGGCTCTAGTACAGTGGTGCAATTATGGCTCACTGCAGCCTCAACCTCCCGGGCAAGCAATCCTCCAACTTCAGCCTCCTGAGCAGCTGGGACTACAGGCACACACTGCCACACCTGGCTGATTAAAAAAAATTTTTTGTAGAGACAGAGTCTTGCTATGTTGCTCAGGCTGGTCTCAAACTCCTGAGCTTAAGCAATCCTCCCGCCTCGGCCTCTCAAAGTACTGGGATTACAGGTGTAAGCCACTGCACCTGGCCTTGTCTGTTTTTAAAATCCATTTGTTTATTACCTTTTTTCATCTAACTAAAAGGCAAACCTCCACCATGGCAGGGAACCTCATTGGTCTTGGCCTATATCTTCTGTTCCTAGAGCAACTTCTGAAATGAAGTGGGTGCTCAACATATTAATTAATAGGAAGGAGGAAAATGAAGGGAGCCTAGATCTGAGGCATAAGCCATATTCTGCCTTGTCATCAGGCAATGGAGTTATCTTCTTTTCCATGGAGGACATATGGGCATCTGAGAAGCAGATGGCAAGATGGAATTTGATGTACAAGAGATTTATTGTGAGAAACGCCTGTGAAGGATAAAGAGGAGAAGAGCAGGGTAGGTGGGGTGAACCTTCAGACTGCAGTGCAGGCCTGACACCTGTGAGAGAGAGGAGAGGAAGTAGGCTGAGATTAGGAAGAGCCTCAGTGCATGGTGAAGCTCCAAGAAAGCCTTGGCAGGCTGTTGGGGAGCCCCTGAGCAAAGACTGCCCTTTGGAGGAGTTCTGTGTTGGGTGCAAGTCCAGTACCCCTGCTGTTTACAGTCATTGACTGACAGCCACCTGGAGAGGGCATGACCTCAGTGTGAACTCTGGTAGATCTAAAGGTGTGGCAGTTGGAGGCTGTTAGCCAACTGCATTCTTTGCAGCTGATTCTCTTGAAGTGAAGTCTGAGCATTGTTTTTCTATGGCTACCCAATGGGGAGGGTTTAGCAGGTGTAATTGTAAGGATTAGATTCACCAATAAGTATTAGAACAGTTTCTCTTTTACATAAAAGAAATTCAGAGTAAGTAGCCCTGAGCAGGCTGTGATGGCACCACCATTATCAGAGATTCAGGCTCCTACTATCTTGAGGGTCTGCCTTCTTTAACCCATGGTTTTCACTTCTTGGTTAAAGATGGCAGCTCATGACTCAGTCATTATGTCTTCATTCCAGTCAACTCAAAAGAGTAAAGGACAAAGAAGGGTTCACTCCCTCACTCTAAGGATACTCCCTGAGCATGCATATGGTACTTCTGCCTATATCTCATCGGTCAGAGTTTAGTTATGTGGACATATTTCACTGTAAAGGAAACTGAGAAACATAGCCTTTATTTGGGTAGCTATGTACCAAGTTACAAGCTGGGGGTTCTATTACTAAGCAAGAAAGACAAAAGAGGTACTGTGGGAAACTAGGAATCTCTGCTACAGAGAGACAGAATTCAGTCTCTGTTCATATGCTGCACTGGCCTTATTCGATCAAGTCTTAGTGTACATGACTTTTCTTGGAGTCACAGTGTGATTCAGTGACCTTGATATAAACAAGGCTGACGGGTAATTAGTCCCCATGCCAGCCAGGCCCATGATGCACATTACCGAGGATTTGAAAAGCTCCCTGTATGAAGAGGATGATACGTGCTGATAGACCCAGTACAGTGATGCAAGGATGAACTCATTCAAAAGTATTGTAGAGCCTTTTCTAAACATAGTGGCATGTTTGAATGTTGCTAGGGTTAATCCTGTTAGACTCTCACTTCTGATCTTGAATGACACAGGCTTTTTCTTTTGTACTATATATTTCTAGAATTATTCAATTGATTTTTACACTAGAGTGAAAAATTTGATGTCACTTTATTCCAGATGATTTATGTTAATACTAAAATATATGGAAAAATAGAAAACTACTTCAGAGCAATAGAGAACCTTGTATTGATTTACTCAAAATTGTCATTTCATCTATATAAAACAAGATATTAAGACCAAAAGGCATGAGATTAAGTTATTTGAGTGTTCTAAAAATTAGATTTCCTTTTCCTTTTTAGGGTGCTGGAACAAATGAAGATGCCTTGACTGAAATCTTAACTACCAGGACAAGCAGGCAAATGAAGGAGATCTCTCAAGCCTATTATACAGGTATCTTATTTTCTGCTTACCTTCACCACTGTTCACACATATTCGAGCCAATGTTGCTTTTCCCAGAATCCTCCCAATCTCTTCATGAGGCATTTTGAGAGGACAAGACTTATAGAAAGGAGAATACATTCTAAAATCAGCTGAAGACTATGGGTTTCCAGGAAAAATTGGAATATGATCTGAGCTAGATACTGCTACATAACAATAGCATTAATGCTTTATGTTCATAATATTATAGCTGCAGTGGATTTTGCTCTCAGCAATCTCTCATTAATTGAATTAACCATTTTCATCAATGGAAGAGACTCAGATCATATTTTATTATGAGGTGTTAAAAATCACTCAGATTAGATCCACGATTTTTGGTGTGGGAAATTAGATTAATTTAGAGGATGTGTTGAGCATGAGGATTCAATAGAATTAGTTAAAAGACCTAATAGTCTGCTGGCTGTGTAAAGTTAGAAAGTCTCTGCAATGCAATTCTGACTCTAACTACCCAAGGTTAGTGTGACTTCACAGGTTAAGGTCACAGTCCCCACAAGACTACCTTCACCTCAGACACCAGCCCACAAGCTCAGGTGTTTTCAGACTACACATGCTTTTAACTGACTGGCTACAAATTCAGGGTTCTCACTACTCTCAGGTTCAATAGCACACCAGAATGACACAGAACTCAAGAAAGTGCTGTATTGACAAATGCGGTATTATCATAAAGGAAACAAATCAGGGCCAATCAAATGCAGAGACTGCATAGGGAGATATTGGGAAGGGTCCAGTGGAAGCTTCCACTCTCCTGACACAACCCGCAAGCTCACTTGATTATAGGTAGCCTTAGTTTTTATTGGGGTTTCATTATATAAGCATGATTAGTTGAACCATTGTTCATGTGATTGAACTCAATCTCCAGTCCCCCTACACTCCCCAAACATCAGGCTAATATTGTGGCTCAAAGCCTCAACCTTTTAATCATATGGTTGATCTTTCTAATGTGACCAGCCTTTATTCTAAGTCGTCTTGTTAGCATAACTGAGCTGCAGTCCAAGAGACCAACCATGAGTAATAAAGACACACCTATGACCTGGGAAATCCAAAGGATTTAGAGTTTACCTCCCAGGAATCAGGAATAAGACCAGCCCAATTCCTTACTATTCAGCAGCCCCATAGAACCTTCTCCAAGTACTTTAAGGAAGCCACAGTTTCTCTGTTTGTGTCTCACGGAGGTCAGTTGTGTCATAGGAGCTTTTGCAGTGGGAGAGGTCCAAAGAAGGAGGACATATTGGTCCTCAGGTGGGTGTTAAAGAGGTTGCTTTGGGAAATTCTTGTTAGAAGGTAAATACTTCAATGACAGGTAACTATTTTGTTATTGATGTGCTAATTGGGTTCTAATCAGAAAAACAGAAACAGCACTAGGTATTTTGACAGAAAAAATGTAATATAAAGAATTGCTGGCCGGCCGTGGTGGCTCAAGCCTGTAATTCTAGCACTTTGGGAGGCCAAGGCAGGCGGATCACGAGGTCAGGAGATCGAGACCATCCTGGCTAACACGTTGAAACCCCGTCTCTACTAAAAATACAAAAAGAAATTAGCCGGGCATGGTGGCGGGCGCCTATAGTCCCAGCTACTCCGGAGGCTGAGGCAGGAGAATGGTGTGAACCCTGGAAGCGGAGGTTGCAGTAAGCCGAGATTGCACCACTGCACTCCAGCCTGGACGACAGAGCAAGACTCTGTCTCAAAAATAAAAAAATAATAAAAAAAAGAATTGCTTAAAGGGTCTGGCACGGTGGCTCATGCCTGTAATCCCAGCACTTTAAGAGGCTGATCACAAGGCCGGTGGATCACAAGGTCAGGAGTTTGAGACCAGTCTGGCCAATATGGTGAAATCCTGTCTCTACTAAAACATACAAAAAAAATTAAACGGGCATGGTGGCACGCACCTGTAGTCCCAGCTACTCAGGGGGCTGAGGCAGGAGAATTGCTTGAACCCAGGAGACAGTGGTTACAGTGAGCCGAGATCGCACCACTGCACTACAGCCTGGGCAACAGAGTGAGATTCCGTCTCAAAAGAATTGCTTAAGCTGAGCACAGTGGCTCACGCCTATAATCCTAGCATTTTGGGAGACTGAGGTGGGCAGATCGCATGAGCCAAGGAGTTTAAGACCAGCCCAGGCAACATGACAAAACCCTGTCTCTACAAAAAATACCAAAAATTAGCCGGGTGTGGTGGTGCACGCCTACAGTCCCAGCTCCTCAGGAGGCTGAAATGGGAGGATCACTTGAGTCTAAGAGATTGAGGCCCCAGTAAGCCTTGATCATGCCACTGCACTCCAGCCTGGGTGACAGACTGAGACACTGTCTTGGAAAAAAAAAAAAAAAAGAATTGCTAAACACCTTTCAGAGAACTAAGAAAGGAAAAGGGGAACAAAGGGATTCATGCAGAGTATAACCCCCCAGACCTGAGACAACAGAGGAAAGAGGTTGAGTTTGTCAGAAACTGGAAGTTAGAAGAGGGATATACCTGGCTGATGTTGGTACCTTAGGGGCTCAGAGCAGAGGCTTAAGGAGCAGGAGTTCAGACCTCTGAAAAGAGGGAAAGTGACTTGTTCTAGGAACTAGAGCCATTGCTGCTGTCAAGGTGAACGACCTTCACTGGGTTGACACTGATATGAATAGCCATCAAATATCTTGCACTTCTTTCCACCTCCTGCCTTCCAGTCCCCCTCTACTCCCTACTACTGGTGGAACCTAAAAGGGAGTGGGAACAGAAAGAAGTAGACAAGAGAACTGCTTCATCATTAATGCACAAAGGTTATGTTGTAGGTGTTTAAAATATTTCAGTTCAACAAGGTTTACGTATTTTACAAAACCCATCATCAGAGCCATGCACTGTATCCCAAGTTGGCTTGGTATTTTCTGGTGTTTCTTAGAAGAGTCGCTGCTCCCCTAGTGGACCTGCCCTGTGACAGATCCCTGGAGCCCAGCATTTAGGTACAAACACTTCCAGGATGTAAGCTTTATAAGGATGAAGATTTTTGTCTATGTTGTTCACTACTGTAGCCTCAGTTCTAAGAACAGTGGGGGAGATAAGTGCAAATATTTATTAAATGAGTGTCCTCAAAATTGAGGTTAAGATCTTAAGAGCCAAGTGAAACCTTTAGCATTCAGGATAGTGTTGTGAAGATATGACAAATGATAATAGCACAAAGTTACCAGAGCCTCAATTTCTATGTGAGTAATGCTCTCTGAGGCTACAAGGGATACAACTGCCTCAAGGTTACCTTGGTTACTAGAGATTAATGATACACAAGAAGATCAAGAAGGAAATTGTCTCAATCATGCATAGCCAAGCTTTACAGAGATTCAAGTCATAGCACTACCCGAGGGACCCAGTTATGTTGTCAGTCTCTCGGCCGCAGGCATCCATTGCTTCCCGTGCTAATGTTTTCCATGACAGTAACTGTTCCTCTTCCTTTTTGCTTCTCATGTTCTTGACACCAGCAAGTAACATCCCCTCCCTTACCACATGGTGTTTGTCTACCCAAGGCTTATAAATATTTGTGCATAGTTTTTGGTTATTCTTGGCTACTGTTTTCTTCATTATTTCTAGGAGTCTTTCAGTTCTTTATTATTCTGTTGTCTTTGTCTCCTTTTCTGTGTCACTCATTCTCTAAGACAGAAGATACAATGGATTCAGGAAGTCACGATCAAGTTGGCCCTCATAAAGGGACCAGACGTCTTGTATAGCTTATCCGGTACAGTGGCACAATAGGGTCTAAATAAATAGAGATCTAAATTCTTAACTTTTTTCAGTATTCTAAAGTCAATGATGTGTGAGGGAACACTGAAACAGGTATCAGGAACTCAAAGTTCTAGTCCAGACACCTGTATTGTTAAAATACTCTATTTAATTTTACACTCTACTGTGCCTCAAAATGCATAAAGTAGTTGTCAGCTTAGATTGAAATAATATTTTAGTCTAATTTCCCACAAAATATTTCATGTAAAGGGAGAGGCTGTGTGAAATGACTTATAAAGTCTCATCTAAATAATTCCAAAATTATAAAATACTTCCCCAAGTTCTAACAAATGGCAGCTTCATTCTTTTACTTGATATTTTCAAATTTAAAGTTTTTATCTAGCCAGAATGAAGGATAGATGTAACAATATCACAACTATTAGGTTTAATGATGCCTACTAAATATTATTATTTAGAAAAATAACACACATTTTTGGTGGATTTTGCTTATATGAATTGCTTTGAAAAATTAGATTTCATAAAAAGGAGACTTACTAAAATCATGCTGAAGAAGTTTCCATCTCAATGCAGTTCTTGCTATTGGATAATCTCATATCACTTTCTATAATTGTCTTTCATTGGTTTAAAAAGATGAGAATTCTCATGGCTATTATGGATAATTTATAGAGTTCTTGAGAATGATAAAGACAGAGTTCAAATAGCCACATGGTGTCACCTACAACCAGGTGTATAGTGGCTCCAAGAGAATCACCACCCCATGGATGGGGCAGACAGAGATTTAAGACTGATGGGCACCACACATCACAGGCCATGCAAAAGGGGCTACATCTAGTCAGTACTGAAATACATGAACACACAATTGGCATTTGTAAAGGGAGATGGCATGTTTTGAGGTAGCTTTCTTACTTTTGGGAGATACTAAAAAATATAGTTTAGTTATATTCCTTGCGATTAGGGTTAGATTCAATAAAACAGAAAAATTACAGTGGCTTACAAAAAGTAGAAGTTTATTTTAATCATATGTAGAAGTCTAGACATTGGCAATTCTAGGACTAGTATGACAGCTACTAAAAGCTTTTAGGAACTCAGGCTTCTTCTTGATTACTTTTATGCCATCCCTAGGAAGTGGTCCTTATCTTCACAGTCCAAGATGGCTGCCCAAGATGCAGATATCAGTTCACATGCAAGGCAGTCAAATGGAGGAAGGACTAAGATGAACGTGGTCCCATCCCTTTAAGGAGATTTCCCAGCAAAGTCATATTTGTCTGTCTTCATTTCATTGTGAAGAACTAAGTTATAGGACTGCACTAGCTAAGAGGAAAGCTGGGAATATAGTTTTTAAGCTGTGTGCATTGTGTCTTGCTTAAGGTTAGGGTTCTCTTAGTATGGAAGATGGTCAGAATGGAAATTGAAAGGCAAACTAGTAGCTCATCCACCCCAGCTTTTCCACTATGCATCCCTTAGTGCCATTGTCAGATGAAATAAACCATGATTTGCTCCAGAATGACAACTCTTTCTATTCTTTTGCATTTACCACAACACAGTGCAGTAAGAGTTACAAGAAGAATGTACCATCTCACAACAGAAGAGCATGAAGAAATTAAAGGGCAAGATTTGTCTTATCACATACCCATTCTTTGCTAGTGTTGGCATTTAAACTTTTCTGTTTTATAATCGTATTTTTCAGTTTGTCAAGGCTTAATTTCATTCTGATTTGGTTTCAGTATACAAGAAGAGTCTTGGAGATGACATTAGTTCGGAAACATCTGGTGACTTCCGGAAAGCTCTGTTGACTTTGGCAGATGTAAGGTTTTATTTTTTATTTTTTAACTCCCCAGTAATCTGCATGCTCAATAATAATTTTTAGGGAGTTTAAAAATAACCAAACTGAGACAATTAGTTCACAATTTTCCTTATGAGATGGTTTGTTCATTTTACATTTTCATTGCCACCAAGCAATGTAATGTTTAACCAAAATCATAAAAGCATACATAATGATGTAACAACAAAGAAAACTTATTTGAGTCAGTAAGTGGAGGTGTTTTGGTCAGGTTTCACAATTTTGACATTAGAAGACATTCTGATACATCATCTGACATACAATATTTATTTCCATTATAAGTGTCTCCATTTTAAAGAACAGGTTTATTTTCTTCTGGACTCCAAAGAATAAATATTTCTTTTGTTAGCTTCTAAATTAAATAGGAAGCATGATACAGAAGAATTGTCTTTAGAGATGGGAATTAAACTAACAAATGAGTATCAGTCTCAGGATTAAAAAAAGAAAGTGATTGCTGCAACTTCAGCCTTGCCACCTTGGAAAAGCTGCCAAACTATTAATCACTATGTGACCTAATGAGGCCACACCTTGCTTTCTCTTTGTAGAAGGCTCGTGACTTTTATCATAAAGATGGTAAAGTCAAAGAGGAGATATATTCATAGCTATGTGTAAGAGAGAAAGTGATTTAAACCATATCTCACCAATTTTCTTTCAGCTGATTTACATAACACCTAAAGTGTGAGAAAATCCCAACAATGGTCTCAGCCTCGTGGTTGAAACAGCACCTGTCAAAGTGAGACATTATGCCATTAGAAAGCGATTTATCTAAATTATGGTTTCAATTACTTTAAATGTGAAAACCTTATGAAGGTTGAACCCACAACACCAAATTTATGAAGCATTGCTGCAGACATATGCTCTCAGAGGTATATATTCATAAGTGCACATCTGTTTGTGTATGGACATGAACACACCCACCCACAGGAGGCAGTACAGAGCAGGGCTCTAGCACAGGGTTCTAGAATCAAACAGGGCTGGAATCTCATGCTGCCTACTAGCTTTGTATATTTGGACAAGTTCTTTAAGTCTTAAAGCATTCATTTTCATATCTGTAAAACTAAAATACTAATAATGCCAAGTACTCATAGGGTGTTATGAAGATTAACAGAAACAGAGAGCATGTGAAGTACTTAGCGATCAACACAGGGTGGTGGTGGTTTGTTAGTATTATATTAAGACCAATGATAATCAGCATTTATATCATTGGAGCAGAGTGTACAGTGAAAGAGAACCAGAAGAAAGCAAACAGCAGCAGAGTATCAGCAGCACAGAAAAGAAACCAGGCAAAAATCAGACAGTCATGCAAGGACCTAATGTTTGAAAATACGAACAAATTCATTTTAAACAATTGTAGCTAAATGTTTCATTCACCTGTAATTTGCCAAATAATTCAGGTAATCCCATCTTTTCTTTCTGTCTCCTGTCTTTCTATAATGTGCTTAAGTATTTGTACATGAACACACACACACCACACACACACACACGCACACAAACATCACTTAAACCATAGAACCTTTAATATTACAGTTGGTTTGGGGACTTTTGAGGACTTTTTTTTTTTCTCTTTTTTGAGACAGAGCCTCACTCTGTCATCCAGACTGGAGTGCAGTGGCACGATTTCCGCTCACTGCAACCTCTGCCTCCCAGGTTCAAGCAAATCTCCTGCCTCAGCTTCCCTGGTAGCTGGGATTACAGGCGCATGCCACCACACCTGGCTAATTTTTGTATTTTAGTAGAGACAGGGTTTCACCATGTTGGCCAGGATGTCTCAAACTCCTGACCTCAATCAATCCACCCGCTTCAGCCTCCCAAAGTGCTGGGATTACAGGCATGAGCCACTGCGCCTGGCCTTTGAGGTTTTTTTTTTTTTTTTTTTTAAATAAACTTTACTTTTTAGAGCAGCTTCAGATTTATGGAGAAATTGAGCAGAAAGTACAAAGAACTCCGATATGCCCCTCTTCTACTCTCTCCTTTCCGTTATTATTATTATTATTATTATTATTATTATTTTGAGACAGGATCTCGCTCTGTTGCCCAGGCTGGAGAACCATGGTGTGATCTCAGCTCACTATAGTCTTGACCTGCTGGGCCCAAGCAGTCCTCCCACTTCAGCCTCCTGAGTAGCTGGGACCACAGGTGCACACCACCACCTTGGCTAATTTTTTTGTTTTGTTTTGTTTTGTTTAGAGAGAGAGAGAGAGAAGGTCTCACTCTTGCATTAGTATGTGTATTTGTTACAGTTGATGAATGAATATTGATACATTATTATTAACTGAAGTTTGTAGTTTACGTTAGGGTTCACTCTTTCTGTCATATAGTTCTATGGATTTTAATAAATGTAAAATGTCATATGTCTACCATTACAGTATGATAGAGTAGTTTCACTGTCCTAAAAATCCTCTGTGCTCTGCCGGTTCATACCTTCCTCCCCACCAACTACTGATCTTACTGTCTCTGTAGTTTTGCCCTCTCTAGAATGTCCTATAGTTGGAATCATACAGTATGTAGCCATTTCAGGCTGGCTTCTTTCACTTGGCTATATGCCTTTAAGGATCCTCTATGTCTTTTCATGGCTTGATAGTTCATTTCTTTTTAGTACTGAGTAATATTCCATGTATAGAATATTTATTTCACCTGCTGAAAGGCATCTTGGTTGCTTCCAAGTTTTGGCAATTATAAATAAAACTTCTGTAAACATTCATGTGGAGGTTTTTGTATGGACATGTTTTCAATTCCTTTGGTTAAGTACCGAGGGGTGCAATTGCTTGATCATATAGTAAGAGATATTTAGCTTTATAAAAAAAACTGCAGAACTGTCTTCCAAGGTGTCTGCACCATTTTGCTTTCATATCAGCAGTGAATGAGAGTTCCTGTTGCTCCACATTCTCACCAGTATTTGGTGTTGTCAGTGTTTTGGATTTGAGCCCTTCTAACAGGTTGTGTAGTGGCATCTGATTGTTTTGATTTGTAATTCTCTAATGACATACAATGTCGAGAGTCTTTTCATGTGCCACCTCTGTGTCGTCTTTGGTGAGATGCCTATTGAGATCTTTCAACCATTTTTAAATTGGGTTGTTATTTTCATATTGAGTTTTAAGAGTTCTTTATGTATTTTGGATACAAGTTCTTTATCGGATACATGTTACAAATATGTTCTCCCAGTTTGTACCTTGTCTTTTCTTCCACATAAGACCTCTGTGTTGGGTTGGGCACAGTGGCCCACACTTGTATTCCCAGAGATTTGGGAGGCTGAGGTGGGGGGACAGCTTGAGGCCAGGAGTTTGAGACCAACCTGGGCGACATAGCGAGATTCCCATCTCTAAAAAAAATTTTAAAATTAGCTGTGTGTGATGGTGTGCACCTGTAGTCACATTAGCTACCCAGGAGGCTGAAGCGGGAAGATAGCTTGAGCCTTGGAGTTCAAGGTTACAGTGAACTACATTTGCAGCACTACACTCTAGCCTGGCTGACAGAGAGCGAGGTCCTGTCTCTAAATATATATATATATAGAATATATGTATATATTAATATATATGAATGTATGAATATATGAATATATGAATGTATGTATATATTCATATATATATGAATATATATGAATGTATGTATATATGAATATATATGAATGTATGTATATATGAATATATAAATGTATGTATATATGAATGTATGTATATATGAATAGATGTATATATGAATAGATGTATGAATGTATGTATAAGATTCATATATATATATGAATTTTCAGAGGAGGGAACTGAGGCCCATAGAACTGTGTGATTTGCTAAAAATTTCACGACTAGTCAATGGCAGAAACAGAACTGGAGCCCAGAGTACCTGATTTTTCTGTGCAACCTGTCCTGCTTTGAAAAAAAACCACTAAGATCCCTTGCTGGTTGAGTTACCGTGTGTTAGAATCTTCTGTCTTTAAAGGATGGCCCTTGTTTTCGTCATCCCTGTTTAGGGCAGAAGAGATGAAAGTCTGAAAGTGGATGAGCATCTGGCCAAAAAAGATGCCCAGGTCAGTAACAAAGCGGGAAAACATTTCTTTACCTATTCTCCTATGTGGCTGCCTTTGCATTTATGTGAAAAAAGGAGAAAAGTAGACCAACGGAGGGGCTTTTTTTTTTTTTTTTTTGCCTGTTTGAAAGAGAAGCCTGAGGCTTGAGGATACCAACCCTAACTTTTTGCCTGCCCCAGTGGTAGTTATCATTCTCCTTAGCTCCTGCCAGCCCAATTATTGATTTCTAGTCTGCTGAAAGTGAGAGACTTTGATAATAGATGATTGCACTGACCTCGAAAATACGGCTCCCATTCTTCTCATGTCACCTCTCAAAAAAAGAAAATAATTGTGTCTCTAATAACATTCTCTTGCGAATAGATTCTCTATAAAGCTGGTGAGAACAGATGGGGCACGGATGAAGACAAATTCACTGAGATCCTGTGTTTAAGGAGCTTTCCTCAACTAAAACTAAGTACGAACTCACATTACAATCCTTTGTGTTGTGTGTTGTTTTTACACATGTTTTTGCATTTAGTATACAAAGGTCTAGAAAAATGAAGTTTAAAATTGCAGTCTGTTCCAGTTTATTTATTCACATTTCAGGAAACAAAATGAGGAAGCTGTATTGTCACTCAAGGAAGTCCTGACACTACACTTTTGTTTTTCCGTAGAGGCTGAGTAGATTACCTAGTGAGTACCAGGTAATAGATGGGGGAGGGAGGTGGCCGGAAGAAGAAAAGAGGCCACCTCTAGGGTGAGAGTAGAAAGGCTTGTTCCTGTGGGATGGAGAAGCCCAACTGCTTCCACTCCACCTAACAGTTCTCTCTAGTTAGCCACTTCCAGAAAAGCCAGACACTGCAGGTGAGTCTCTGTTGACACATCAATACTGATTAACCTTCAGCTATTTCTGATATGAAGGTAAATGGTAGAATGAATCGACTCTTATCGTCAGACCAGCTATTATATGGAATTGTGGGCACCCACCCTCTTGCTCATGGCACCTCCTAGAGCTGTTCTGGAAGCAACAGCACCTAGAAAACTAAACCTCCATTTACGGTGAACATCTTCTGACTCTGGCTTCCAGGTGCTAGTTTCCAGAACAGCCACACAGCAAGACCAAGCTTAAAGTTGACAGAACGATGAGTAAACATAAGGATGTTACTGTGACTTTGAAATTCTGGAATTGTTCTTTCTTAACTTTTGGCATTAAAATCACATTTGTTTTATAAAATAATGACAACAGTAAGTGATAGTTGCTTTATTCATGTCTTTGTTTGTAAAACAAAAACCAGATAACCCTAGGTCTCTCTCCAAAATTTCTTTTTTAAAAAATTTATTGGGGGAAAATGTACTTGGCTTACAAAATATGCCTGTATACTTGGTGACATATGTACAGGTTTTGCTTGGGGCAAATACTGATCAAGAAATTCGGATGCCTTCTGGGAGGTGTGAAGTAGGCCATGCCGCCTTAGGAAATGATTTATTCAGTGCAAGGAGGTCTTCAGAGTTGAGATTTCTTTACCAGAGAAAACATATTTGACTAGTGATTATAGTATCGTTTCCCAGGTGCTGCTATAAATCAAATTTAAAATAGCCCTCCTTACTAGATAAAGTATTTATTATTTAACTATTTAGGCTATTTGAAATGCTTACTGCTTGAGAGAAGGGGAAAGAGAAAGAGAGATCATTGATGAAGAGAAAGAGAGATCATTGAAGAAAATTATCTAGGGATGTTTGGGGTTTATCGTAGATGATTTCCTTAAAAAGGAACAAAAGAAAAACAAAAACTTTTGTACCCAAATTTTC